GTGCAATGTCATAGTCAATCAAGCACTTGCCACCAAACTTGGCGCTCTTGATGGTCAAGTTGCAGATGACATTCGCAATCGACACGCCAGTGACCATGAAAGCCGAGAAGCTCGAGGCTGTCTTGAGCTGGAGGTCTGCAGCTATAGTCAGAATCGGTATGAAAAGCCCACCTCCACCAATCCCACCCGCGCTCGAAATTGCAGATGCTACGAAGCACAAGACACCAGCTTGCACCACCGGAGGTGAAAAAGACTCCAACTTGACGTGAGTCTCTTGAGATTTCGTCATCTGGGTGTGTCTGCATTGATGAGTTTGGTTGCAAAGATCGTGACTTTTGGTGATTCCTGAGATGGGTTCCCTTCCATTGGCATGGGAAAGGCCTAGGATCGTGAAGAAGAAGAAGAAGAAGAAGAAGATGGCTGAGGGTAGGAACGGAGCGGAGAGTCTCTGATTCTTCATATTGAGAGAGCTTGGTGAATGGACAGAAACTAAAAACTGCACTCTCCTGATATACAGCGGTTGAGAGGGATACTTGATCTTCTGCATGGCATTAGTGGGGGAACCAACAAAAAGTGAGTAAACAAATAAATGCAGAACGTGATCATTACCAACTACTAGCACAGCAAGGAGTGAAAGTAATTATTGAAGTGAAGGGAAAAGCAAAAACATGCAATTCCTCGAACTTCTGTTTACTCTCGAAGACTTAAAAATTCAAGAGATGGAGAGAATGTTGCGAGGGACGGTTGATGCTTCGGTTATGGCTAGAGATGGAGAGAGATCTAGATGGATTTGGAGAGAGAAGGTTGGACTTATTTTTGTTTTTCTTTTGTTTTTGTTTTTATTCCTGTTTTGGCCCTTCTACTTTTCTCTTTTTTTGGTTGAATTGACCCTTCTACTTCATTTTAATTTTTAAGGATAGTGCTACCATTGGGATGAGCATGGTCGAGTTTAGAGCTTGAATCGAAAACAAAATCAAGGGATTGATTCTGAAAAAATCTAGACTTGGGAGTTGAATTGGTCCACTCGAGAACTAACTTGGAACCTAATTGGCTGCCCGATAGAACCGGGAACTCGCCTTTCAATTTGTTTTTTGTTTCAAATATATCAAAACACAATAACTAATCTTTTTTTTTTTTAAATTTTCAGTTTAAACGTTTGTCTTTGAAAGCCTTTTCTATATTATTATTTTGAGTTGCCAACTTGTTAGTAATGGATTTTCTTTTGTCAAAATATGTTCACTGGGTCAGAGACGATTCAATTTCGAGTTAGCTAGGGATCCGACCATGGCCTGGCCATTTAAGTTCCTGGATAGAATTGACGGCTGCAAGACTCAATCGAGGAATTGGATCGAACCTAGTCAAGTTCCCAGATTTTAAACCACCGAAACTACGTGATTCTTCGAAAGCCGGTTCCCTGAACCTGCAACATTACTCACCCTTAGCCGCCACACTAGTAGTCTCAAGATTTTTGCGCAAGAACCAATATTGTCGCTCCTCTTTCTTCGTTTTAAAATGGCCCATCTACTTTTTTCGGTGCTCCGCACGAAGTAAGGGAGTCATACGGCAAAAATGCTTGATCAGGACGATCTGGATGTTTATGTAACATTCTTATGTGCACTCGTGACGCTGATGAGGCTCTCGTGGTGCCAAGCATGCACCGAATTAGTTACAGTAAAAGGAAATTAACAATACGGAGAGAAAAAAAAAAACATACATACATAGAGAGAGACACACACAAAAACAACTAATCGTGCGTCGGTTGAGCCCACGACCGCGAGAAGAAATGGTCACGATGTTCTTATATCATGCCCACTCACTCACACACACATTTTGAGAGATAGAGAGATACACACCCGCATTGGTTGCGTGCTCCGGGAGTGCCACGTAGGCCACAGTCCAGTCCAGTAATTGGTTGCCAAGTGTCCAGGCGGGGGCCCACTTCTCAGATTGACAAGTGCCCCCGCTTCCTCACGTTTCTCCGTGTAGCCCCCAGCCGTCTTCATGCCACATCGACGGAATGGCACACGTGGCGACCAATCACTGGACAGGACCGCTCCTGGTGCAGCAGCAGCAGCAGCATGGGGTTGAGGAGTGACGTGGCAGTCAACGTCGCTTAGGGTCTAGATAGCATCCATTGAGGAAGGTGAGTTGTCAGCGGTCTCCAATGTATTTTGTATCCTTTAATTCATTTTTTTATGAATTAATATTACGAAAAATCATAAATAGTAAATATGTGAAGAACGAAGGGGTAAAATCTTAAACTGGTACATCCCGTCAATTGTCACGAGTCATTCAATTTAGCAATTTAACAGTAAAATTTAACGAAAATAAACACTGGTAAATTTGTCACATGTGTACTAATATGAAGTTTGAGGTGGTCAAAACATTAGTTCGGGGTAAATTTATTATAAGTGAAATAATTTGAAATTTTTCGTGATATTTACCTTTTTTTATCTTCCTTTTCTTGGAAAACTAGGTTTTGCATTTTTTTTTACTCCATGAAAAAAGATTTTCTCTTATATGGTCACTCAAACACATAGTGATGTCGGTTTAGTCTCAAAACGAGAAAATTCATGTCGACATCTGTTTTTGTTTTTTTTTAATGGTGTTAAATCCACTTTAGCAAAATCTAGGCTTAAGGACCAAAGGCGGCTCCCTTTTACAAAATATACGTATCCTCTTCTTCGAACGAAAGGAAGTCGGGACTTGATTATAAATTTCGAGCGGTACACGTTTTCTTAAAAGGAGTCGAATGCTCGACCACTTCCCTAGACAACTACATCTTATCGATGTGAAAGGTCTAGGATCGTGACGTGGGCTTGGTATTGATTGAAGAAACAAAGAGATCCTGCGAAGGAGGAGGATGGAGTAGACTCGAAACAAACGTGCGCGGTTATTGAACGGGTGACTAAATGTCAAGGACCGATTTGACTGGGCGTGATCACTATCTTATCGAGATTTTGAAAAGTATAAGAGGTGATTCTCCTGCCTTCACTTTTGTGTAGTGCTGTCTTTTTTTCTCCTCTTAGTGACAGCATCTTGCCCCCGACAGGGCGGACACCGCACGTTTGGATCTTTGTGAAAGTTTGGGGTCTTGAGTCTGCCATGGTGTTGGTACTTGCAAGCATGTTGTTCTTCGTAAATTAAATTCGTTTTGCGGTATCATCGATATTGTAATCGTCGAATGTTTTAATAGCGGGTTGCCACAAGTTCAGCCATCTTTTACCTCTGTCCTCGGAGTTTCATCGACAGCATTCATCCTTGCCCATCTCTCCGCGCTGCAGTTTGAGTTTTCGAAACATCATCTCTCGATAAATTGTTGACATCCAAGTGTTTCGTCCATTGCTAGTTTGCGAGAACGTCATGCATCAATCTTCACAATGTATTGATCTATTAACTGAATGCTACGTAGAAATTAAAGTCTACCCTCTATATGCAAATGAAGTAACCTCTGAAGATGGGAGTCTCGTGTCATAGTCAGTGTCTCCTGTGCATTCCTTTGGTTTCTGGAATCACTTACTACAGATCAAAATAACTGGGGAACTATGTGATTACTCAGGACGTGAATGACAATATTTCTCGTCCCCAACCTTATTCCCCGGACGAGTTTTTAAACAAAAAGTAGTATTTGATAGACCTGTTAAATGGATCTTAAAACCCATATATGACCCATTAAAAAAAAAAGAGTCAATACAACTTTGAAAAGCCCATCTTAAATAGATTTTAAAATTTTAAGTCTATCATAAATGGGTTTTAATGGATTGAGTGTGGAACCTATTTCCAACCCACTCATTAAACCCACCCCCTTTTTATAAAAATATTCTTTTAAAAATCGAAATTTTTATTTTTATTTTTTCTTTTCTTTTCTTTCTTTTTTTTTAATTTTATTTCTTTTCTCTTTCTCTTTTCGGCCGGTGGCCAATCACAGCGATGGCCAGCGATCAGCGACCGGCCACAAGGGAGGAATGACCTCGCCCTATTCCGGCGAGCCCGAGGCCTCGCCGATCTGGCTCGCCGGAATCGGGCAAGCTCGAGTCTCGCCTGAGGCCGGCGAGGCCTCAGCCTCGTCAGATTAGCGAGCTCGAGTTTCGCCGGCCTTCGACGAGCTCATCCTCGCCCATGGCCGGTGGCCGGCCACAGGCCAAAAATAAAGGAAAGATTAAAAATTTTAAAATTTTAAAAATTGGATTTTAAAAAAATTAAAATTAATAAAATAAAAAATATAATTAAAAATTGTATTGCATGAAAATGTTTTAGTAGTATAATTTTTAAAAAAAGTCATAAAAATAAGTTTTCCTATATTGAGTTAAATATATGAGTGTTTTAGCAATATGGGTTGGGTCGAGTATGGGTCGAGTATGGATCGGGTCGGGTCGGGTGACATTATAAATAAATGGGTTATAAATGAGTTAATGAGTCAATTTGGGCCGGACCATTTATGACTCGACTCAAACCTGACCTGACTCACCCGTTTAACAAGTCTAACGTTTGATAACAATACAAAATTTCTATTCCCGGAATAGAAATTCGCTTGATAAGTTATTCTTAAATTTCTGTTTCTGGTGGCCGGCCGGTGAGGGGTGGCGGCAGCAGTGCAAGCAGAGGGGCGCACGGCCACGCACGACGGCGGCGTAGGCGAGCGGGGTCGTGGGGGCGGCGGGCAAGAAGAATGAACAATAAGAGATAGTTGTTTTTTCTAATTCTGTTCCAATAGAAAAGTAGAAAATTTTAACTTCTCATTTCTATTCCAAATCTATTTCTAGGCCAAAATTTGTCCTAGAAATAAAAAAATGAAATTATTTTATCAAACGGATTTTTGTTCCAAACCTGTTCCGGGAAACAGAATGGTTATCATTGGTGCCTTCAGTATCCAACATAAAATATTCAACTAAACAAATCCAAAAAGAGACGATTGAATAAAAATAACTCCCTTTATAATTCTATTTCGATCGGGGTACCAGATTGGTTTCGAGTTTTGAGTGATAAGATACGTCGCGGAATTGTATGAATGCTCCATCGTGCTTAATATTGAAAAGTCAATCTCATGGCAAGGATTATCATACTCGTCTTACACTATTTTACAAAGGATCATCTTTCCAGGTCAAGAAAGCTCCATGCACGGCCCTTCCGCTCCCATTGTTACACAATAAAATACCGGAGATAGTAAAACTAGTCTGTTGGAACAGTCTCCTATAGAGAGACATGCTCAAATGTGTTGGCGTCGTCCCAACTGAGATGAGAGTATGCCTATCTCTCCCTATTCCTTACTAGTTGAAGAGAAACGAGCTGTTTCTAACTTTTACAGCGAGTGCGCTTAGCGAAAATTCCATGCGCTAGAGTCGTCGACAGGGAGGTTTGAATCCCATATACTTACCTGAAATGTAGTCATTCCAGATCTCAACAGCTCCGAATCCGGTGATGAGAACCGTACTCAAAGCCATCACAATGCTGACGGAGAACACGATGAGCGAGGCCCTCCCGTACTCTCTTATGGCCCTCTGAACTACGATTATTCCCAGAAGTGATGCGACGAAGCAGATGAAGGAAAATATCAGGGCGATGTCTGTGTGCTCCATCCCCAATAGGATATACTGGAGTGCCGACATTGTGGACGAGAAGAAAACCATGAACGAGCAAGTCGCTGCTGTAATCTGCAAGATGAAGTGCAGGTTATGGCAAACAAAATCTGAATTGGGCTCGGCCTAACAGATTCGGTCTTTCATATAGGATACGGACCTTACAGGTACAATTGGCTTAGTCTATGATGCTAAACATTAACGTGACTTCACCTAATAATTTCTGCCAGCTCGTACGAGGAAACGGTAGAGTAGCAATTGATATTTTGACCAAGAAGTTACCTCAGGTGCAATTCCCACTTGCAGGAGGAGTGGGCTTATAAGCATTCCACCGCCTATTCCGAAAATTCCGCCCAGAAGTCCAGCTAACAGTGCCATTACCGGAAAAATAAGCCTGTTGGTTGGTCCTTCTCTGTTTGGGTCATCAATGTCCTTAAAAAAAGAACCACATCTTAATGAACTTCAAGTAATCGAGCTAATTTACAACTTTTACAGTTCTTATTAATCTCTTTCTGTATATAATTAAACACCTGCTGGCTCGAAACTTGATGTTGAATGCTTTCTTTCCTGAAAAGAATCCATGAAGTGAAGACCCCAGCTAGTGGAATCTGAACAGATGAGAGTATCCAATATCCTGGACCACATGGTTCAATTGTGATGATACTCTGCACATGATTTCAAAAATCATGCACGTTAAATCTGTAGCATAAAGTTGGAGGAAAAGATAATATTGAAGGACAGTCATATGAAGAATCTTTGCAAGGATTTGCTCAGGAAAAAGAAAAGAAAAAAGAAGAGAGAAAATTTTGCGGCAGGTTAGTGTGCTGTAAAGTTTAAGCAAAAATGGTGCAGTGGACCTAAGATGAGTGGTCCCATCATCACAAAGAGGTCATTTCTCATACAAGACAAGAATGGAGGACCATGGTATCAATATAGTAATTTCATGGCAACATCCGAGATTGTAAATACCGCAGCTTATTTGTTGGTTTCTTTCTAGGTTCAATTTGCTAGCACAAAGCATCTTCCAAGTTGCATTCACTGAAAGCAACTAATACTGATATTAAAGTCCATGTAGTTTACTTCCATCAGTTGACACTTCAAAATTGATTTATAGCAAGCTCGCGAGTCACCACCATCCATAGACAAGTACACTATATGAGTGGAATGACATACTTCAGTTTAGAAAAAGAAAAGAAAAAAGAAAAAGCTTTCAACATAACACCAGAATGAATGACAAAAGATCTGTCAAAAGGACAAAGATAAGGAATAATGAATCTAATTTCTTTATCTTCTTTGGAGATATCTGTGGGGCTTCTTAATACTTGGCTTTGTTTTGTAGTATAAGATTTTCATCTTAAGCTTCAAGTCTATCTATCAATCCTCTTTTGCTTGATCAAACATCAACCTCCAGTAATCTGTTTGAAAAGCAAAAAAAAAAAAAGAAGAAAAAGAAGAAAATGTTCATGTATATCTAAAATAATAATAAAATTTTAAACTTCTGACATTCAGAATCTTATATTACCTGAGTTCACAGGATTTACACGGTGGATTAGAATATTACAAATCTAGACCTACATTAGTCCCACATTCAAGAATCAAGCAAGTCATCCCTGAATTATACAACACAAAGGAACAAATTTGCTGCTCTGTAACATGACCAAATGTCCCCTGCATGAGCAACAAGTTTATCCACAAAATTCTTTTCACGTCTGAGACAATATCATTATTGAGATAAATCCATAAACATCCTGATTACCAGTTACTTAAAAAATCAATGGAAGGTGACTCACTAGATAAGAACAAGGCAAAAAGATCCAGCATGATCCGCCTCTATATTCTGAACATGAAGATAACATGGATATATCTTTTGGTATGCTGTATTCATTTACATAATTCAGTCACAGGGACATGATGATTCTTTAGCATCATCTACGATGATGGAGTTGAAGGAGATGAAACAAAACAAAAAAAGTGTAACAGAAGAAACAAACCTGTCCATTTCGGTTTCCACGAAGTACATACACGAGGAAGAATGAAAACCAGACCAGAACCAAAACCCCCAATTTCATCCAAGGAAACTTTTCTTGACATTTTGGTTCAACACCCAAAAGAGGCTTTTTTGCAATTTTGGCTTCCTCTGACCCATCAAAACCCCCCTCTCGCACAGACCCTTTTTCCAAGTGTACTATCTCTCTCGCTTCCTCTGACTCCAGTTTCCAATACGAGACCCCATTTTTGCAGGTCTTAAAGGTGGACCAAGCAAGAAAGACTGTGAATAGTATCGTGATGAGCCACTCGGGGAAGACAACATTGCATATGACACCTATACTGACTCCCAACAACATGCATGGCTCCGAGAGGAGTGCAATGTCATAGTCAATCAAGCACTTGCCACCAAACTTGGGGCTCTTGATGATCAAGTTGCAGATGACATTCGCAATGGAACCACCAGTGACCATGAAAGCTGAGAAGCTCGAGGCTGTCTTGAGCTCAAGGCCTGCAACTATAGCGAGAATTGGTATGAAAAGTCCACCTCCACCAATCCCACCTGCGCTCGAAACAGCAGCTGCTACGAAGCACAAGACACCTGCTTGCACCATTGGAGGTGGAAAAGACTTAAACTTGACATGGGTCTCTTGTGGTTTCGTCATCTGGGTGTGTCTCCATTGATGAGTTTGGCTGGAAAGATCATGACTTCTCGTGATACTTGAGATGGGTCCCCCTCCTTGAGCATGTGAAACGCTTAGGATTGTGAAGAAGAAGAAGAAGAGGGCTGAGAGTAGGAATGCACTGTTCATGTTGAGGGACTTTGGTCAGTGGACCATAGAAATGAACCTGCACACTCTTTATACACGGGAGGTAGGGAAGGATCTTTTGGTACTTTGCCTGGCATTAGTGACGAAACCGACAGAAGGCGAGTAAATAAAAAAAAATAGTTAAAAAGTGATTATGATTGGTTATCAGCACAGCAGAAAGTGAAGTAATTATTAAAGAATGGGAAAGTGGGGAGGCTAACAGCTGGGATAATACATCCAAGTTTGGTAAGGAAAAAGCAAATCATGCCAAAGTTTGGTGAGGACAAAAAAAAAACACAAATCATGCAATTCGTCTATGCTAAAACGTAGGGGCGAGCAAGATGGACCGTCTAAATTGGGATCGGACCGGACCGGACAAGATTGAACTGACCGATTTGGTCTGGTTCTAGAGAATATCAATCCGGTTTCCGATTCCTTAAAGTAAAACTGGTTTCCAAGCGATCCAATTCCCGGTTCTAGGGTGGGAACCGGACCGGATCGGACCGATAAATGTATATTTTTAATTTTTTCATATATATATTTATTTACTTTTTAACATTTTTGAAAAAAAACAGAAAAGCCTAATATAATTTCTCAAATTCCCACTTACCTTTTACCAATAAGTGATTGGTCCAATTGGAATGGGACCGGATTAGACCGGTCCGCGGTCCCAAGACAAGCCGGTCCGGTCCCCGATCTTAGAAATTGGGAACCGGTCCTCCTGGTCCAATTTCCGATTCTTGAGTTTGTTCGGACTGGATCGGAAATCGCTTACCGCTACTAAAACGATGAAGCTCTGTCCACTTCCAGGATTGTGAACTTTCCTGTTTACTTTCGATGAGTGAAAAGTCTCAAAGTTAGTAAAAAATCATTCGAGAGAGATATTTGTGTATCTTTTATGATGTAATTAATGAAAAAATCATTGAAGAAAGAGAGAGAGATTTGTGTTATCTTTTGGTATGTAATTAATGTGAGGGTAAAAGTTGCAAAAAAATTCAAAACTATTTTGACTGGACACATTTATTACGAACACTTTTTGTGATATTGAAAATCCTAAATTATTTTTATCGCGACGGATTTATCCTAAAGCTTTTTTTTTGTGATATAACAAATTCAAAATTTGTACCTATGTGACATATTTGCCATCCGTCAATGTTCTGTTAGATGATTTTTCAATCAAAATAACGTCGTTTTATAGTCACGTAGGCGTCATGTCAGCACTGTTTGTTTTTGGAGTATTTGTAGGTAAAATTTTAATGATTTTGTTAACAGAATTTTGACAGAAGGTAAATGTGATATACAAAAATATTTTGAGAGTTTTGATATTATTAAAAAAAATTTAAAGTAAATATGTTCACCGTTCAATGATTTTGTTTTTAGTGGCTTTTGTCCTTAATGAAAAGGTTGTCCAGGACTGCAATTGAGACTCCTTGAAGCGGGAGGGCTGCTCCTGATGGGACGGTTGAAGCTTGGCCTATGGCGAGAGAGAGAGAGAGAGAGAGAGAGAGAGAGAGAGAGAATTTAGATGGATTAGGAGAGAGAAGGTAGGAGATGAGAAAGTTTTTTGTTGTAGAGTTATATAATTCTGCGGGGGCGAATGATTTTTACTTTTATTTTTCACTCTAACGTTTTTACTTTATTATTAGACAGGATGCTATCCTTAGTGAGAGCACGTCGAAACCCGAAATGGAGCCGATGGATTGATTTCAGAAAATTTGGAATTGAGAATTAAATCTACTCTAAAACTAACTTGGAACCGAACCATCTGTTGCTTGTTCTCCATTTTCTTAAGTTTCGGTACATTAACGTTAAAATAACTATTTTTTTTTCATTTTGAGTTGAAATTTTGTCTTTGGAAGTCTTTTTCCTTATTTGAGTTGTTAACTTTTTTTAATGGAACAATTATTTTTCAAAAGTATTCTCACCGGTTCAAAATTTATTCAGGATCGATTTTTCTCGGGAATCGACCTAGCCGGTTCCATTTCTAAACAAAAAGCATGGGTTCAAGATTGATATAGGGGTCGAACCGAACATGGTCGGTTCCTAGGTTTCAAACCCTAGAACCTACCTAGTTATCGTTGGAACCAGCATAGAATCGGGTTGGCAATGCCGGTTCCCAAATTGAACCTCGACCATTACTCACCCTTAAGTATCACACCAGCAGTTTTTGTGTTTTTGCTTGAAAACCAAAATTATTTTTCTTCTTTTTTCTTGCAAAAGGGTCCATGTAGTTTTTATAATCCTTCTCTTATAAAGCTCCACGCAAAGTATGGAGTTGGATGGAAAAAATGCTTGCTTAGACAATCTGGATATTGGTGTTACATTCTTATTTGCACACCTGATGCTGATGTAGCGCTCCGATGTCAATTACGCACCTAATTTTTTTTTTTGGTCAAGTATTATGCACCAAAAGAGAGAGAGAGAGAGAGAGAGAGAGAGAGAGAGAGAGAGAGAGAGAGAGAGAGAGAGGTATATTCTACAAACATCTAGTTGTTTTTGAGAGACAGAGAGAGCATGGGTCGGGAAGTGACGTAGTGGTCGCCATTGCTTGGGGGCATTAGCATGGAGGAAGGTGACTAGGGAGTGGCTTATGTTGATGCTGTCAAGTACGCAAGAGTCATATCATCACCCATCACAAGTAGTGAACTGATGAGCTTTTCATTTTGGGATCCTTTGATTATTTTTATCTTCCTTTTTGTATAAAACATCTTGGAAACCTTGAAAGTTCTGCCTTTTTCACTCCATGTAATGGTTTTTTTCTTGATAAATCTAACTTGTCCAATTGACTGAAAAATGCGACGGTTCTTCTTAAATCTAGAGAGAGAGGATTGTGTAGTAGGGGCCTAGAATTGGGGACACCACGAAGGATTGGTTTCATAAACTGGGAACCGGGAACAGTCCACTAGTTCCCTACCTACTCGGGGACCGGACACCGGTTCATTCGGTTCCTGGGTGGGTCCATGGAATCGGCCATTACATAGTAATCATCATATTGTCCTAAGAGTTTTCAAGAAACACGACCACATAAATGATCATCATTTTGTTTAGCAGCATCTATTAGTTGCTGAAGTTTTTAACAAAACAAAAACAACGGAAGATCTCTTACTTGCAACCGAAACTGGTAAATGTTGAAGCGTTTGTAATTATATAGTTTGCTCAATTCTTATGCTAGCATCATATTAAGGTTTAATAAAGCAACATTTTGACTTTCTTCAGCGTAGATGGGATTTATCTGGTTTAACTTCTTATAAGTGTAATTAACGGGATGCTTTTAGGACAAATTTGTAGGCAGAACTAAAAGATCAGCTGGGACAATAAAGACAAAAGATGATGAAGTTTTTAAATAATCATAGAAGGCATTCCCGCGATTCAGTGCACGAAATACGCATGGATTCCTTTGTGACATGACATATATATCGATCCGATCAGGGTGGTCCGGATGGATGAGTCCACACTTGGAACCGGAAATTAGACTGATACTGATTGATTTCAAGTTACTGGAACTAGGAACCGGATTGGCTCCTACGGGACCGCCCATAATCGGCCATTTTGGTCCGGTCTGGTTATTTTGCTCACCCGTATAGTGTATTGGTAAGAGCGACTGCCACACAGGGGTTGCTCACTTGAGGAGGATGATATGGTTCTTATCTTAAAATTCATATTTTAGGGAGAGAGATATTATAAGTCAGTTCGGTCCCAGAAAGATAAAATTCATGTTGGCTTTTTTCTGACGGTTTTTTAAGTTTACCTGAGCAAAATCTAGGCCCAAGGACCAGCAATAACTATTTTTAAAATGTATACGGGTCATTTTAAATTAATTGTCTCACAAATCTGTGTTCATGTTCTAAACAAATATATCAAAATAAGACTTAAAAAATGCGCGTCTATGAGTGTGGGGTTTTTTTTTTCTTTATGGCAAATGAATGAGGCATATACACTTTGGATTCAAAACAAGGTATTATATTTTTTGTTTCAAATTGTAATGGTTAACGACACTCCACACGCTGAACATCCTTTACATTTGATGTCTCATTAAAAAAGAAGAAGATAATTTGGTCATTATCTTTTTGTCTTGATGACATGACCTTATACTATAATTGGAAGCACGACCTCAGTTTTGTCCCCTAACTTTAACAACGATTTGAAAGCTATGGTGGATAAGTAAGACTCCGCGAGAAACAGTGAAATAATTTATCTGGACTTATCCTACTAGATTAAGTAAATCACAATTGATTTTCTCCACTGTAACTTACCCAAAAAAAAAATTTAAAAAACCTTACAAAAAAAAATACAATGTAACTTATTCAATAAATACCTATACTATGTATTATATATATACACTATGCAAAACCAAATCAAATGATTGTCCTTTTCAAAAAGGACAAACTTCAGAAAGTTCCACAAAAAACCGAACACTTGTAAAAAATGAGCCATCAATAGGTTTTCTTATAGAATGCACCAAACCATAATTTAAATAGTCAAGATATCTATCAAGTGATCTCGTACTTTCCTCAAATTCTCAATTTGTACTTAAGCCTCTTTTGTACCAAAATATTTAATTTCACTTTCTCTAAGTCACTACAATATTGATAAATTTTTCTCTTTCCGTACACATTTTAAACCCTTTTCCCCACCACTTTTCACTCCGTCGCTAGAACATGTGAAATTATTCTTTTTTGGGACCTTCTATGGTCCACTGGGGATCGATCCCCCATTCGTCACCGGGTGTGATCTAATTACATGTATTTTGTCGTAATTCTTATCTAAATGGTCGTAATTCACACAAAAGTTACAGAAATTTTGCCATCGATAGGTGAGGTTTTCTCTCGCATAGCTCAATTGCTACTGTGTCCCTTCGAAGATTAGATTTTTGAGATTTTGCGGAAACTCCTTTCTTTGGGAAATGATCGAGACCAAGGACCTTTACATGAAAAGCAAAACCTACACAACTTCCGGCGCATTCCTACCTTTTTTTCCCCAAGTGCTTCGAATTATACTTTTGCATGAGGCTAAGGTTT